ATGTCCACACAAGTCTGTGTCCAGTTACTTGTGGTGACTTACATAGGTGGTTTTATTAATGCTTCCTCCTTTACTCTTTCCTTCTTTTCTTTACTCTTTTGTGGACCCAATCAAGTCAATCATTTTTTCTGTGATTTTACTCCTTTAGTTGAGCTCTCTTGCTCTGATGTCGGCTTCCCTGCAATTGTTCCCTCATTTTCTTCTGGCTCCATCATCGTGGTCACAGTGTTTGTCATAGTCATTTCCTACATCTACATCCTCATCACCATCCTGAAGATGCGCTCCACTGAGGGGTGTCACAAAGCCTTCTCCACCTGCACCTCCCACCTCACCGCAGTGACACTATACTTTGGAAGCATTTTCTTCATTTATGTGATGCCCAAGTCCAGCTACTCCACTGACCAGAACAAGGTGATATCTGTGTTCTACACGGTGGTGATCCCCATGCTGAACCCCCTCATCTACAGTCTCAGGAACAAGGAGATTAAGGGAGCTCTGAAGAGAGAGCTTAGTAGGAAGATATTTTCTTAGTGTTATCTATTATTTTGTAAAACTTGACATGGTAATAAGATCCCATAGACATAACAATAAAAGGAAACAGTATATGTGATTGAAATATATCTGTGCAAATATCATTAACTATGTAGAACATTTTGATAAATATGAGGGGTCCATTTTCAGATGATTTAGCTAACCAGTGGCTTATAGTGAGTCATTTTTAATAAAACTAAGTTAAATTTGGGATTAAGGGCACAAATTGAATGAAATAGAACTCACTGAAAGTGCTTTTAAAGTTGTATTTATACTTTTTTTCAGGTTGCTCTCCACCATAAATTGAGGTTATTATCATTGCAATAGTTCAGGGTCTCCAAAGAGTCCTTGTATTAAAGGGTTGGTTCATAACAGATACTATTGGGAGGTGACGAAAACTTTTAAGAATTAGGGCTTAGTGGAAGTATTTTGGTCACTGAGTATGCCTCAAAAGGGCATAATGGGATTTTACAGTTTCCCCCCCTCTTTTTTACTTCCCAGTCCTATGATGAGTGTTTTTTTCTGCAACATGTTCCTGGCCTGATGCTCCATCATTGGCCACAGCAATGGAACCATCTGATTGTGGCCTGAAACCTCCAAAATAAACCTTTTCTCTTCATAGTTAGATTATCTCAGCTACTTAGTATCATATAGAAAGCCAAGGAGCACATATTTCATTCCTTTAAGATGTTCCCTTTTAAAAATCAGTTTATCCAGATTACTGTAGTTATGACTGAGAACATTCTAAGAGAAATGACAAAATGTAACCAGACACTGAAATTGTTGGAAATCAACATCTTACAAAAAGTTTGTCTGTGAGGGCTGAGCTTTGGGGACACATATAATTCTGGTCTGTGTTCCTGACCCACAGCTCCAACCGGTTATGGGGTCTCCAGAGAAGAACAGGATGAGCCATTTCTGATTAGCCTGCGACTTCCTATCAGGTCAAATATAGGAAAATGTTTTTGCTGGAATGAAGCAGGGTTCCTGAGCTCCTAAGGATTGAGTTAAGCAAAAACAAACAATAATTTCAACGATGAGAATTCATCTAGTAGCATGATGGTTAGGATGGAAGGAGAAAACTTCGAGTGACTTATGGTGAGACCCACCTGCTACTTAAGATGCTCTGAAGACCCAGATGTTTCTTTCTTGAAAGTGGCTATGCCCTGGAAAGACATAATCTGCCTTCATATGCTGACAGTTATCATATTTATTTCCCTTTTCTCTCCTCCTTCATGTTTCTGAAACAAACACCTTCTTTTGCTAAAAGAACCAAGTGCAGTAATCTTATCTTTTATTTACTTTCCCTTTCATACCTTGAGAAATTATATTGAGTCTTATAGTCAAGGCACTTTCCTACGCTGTTGGGGAAAACAGGAAAGATGCAATTTATCTTCTAATATAAGAACTGGACAATACAATTTAAAAGAAAGTTATATAGATGATGAGAAAGGGATAAGTACTGCAGAGAGAAAAAATAAAACAAAACAAAAGGAGAGCCAAATGCTAGAGGTTGATGTGCCTGGCAGGAATCATTGGGAACATGATACCCAGTGAAGATCTTGGGGGTGAAGATACCTCATGTTGAATATGGTGCTGCCTGTGTACAATTTTGTGAGTCTAATATTCCACTCATTTTTAACTTTGAGGCTTTTTTTCCCCAACCAAGCAGGATTGCTTATTTTAGGCGATCCCATCTTGAGCACCATTAAAACAAAAAATAAAATGCTACTGTGACTAAGATAGTTGGTTGTGGGTTTGTTATATATGGCTTTTATTAGTTTGTAGTAATGTTCTTCTATTTCTATTTTCATCAGTGTTTTCGTTTTCTCACAAAGCAATGTTCAATTTTGGCAAAGACTGTTTTGCATCTATTGAGATAATTATGTGATTTTATACTTGATTGTATTTATGCAGTAATTTGATTTATTGATATATGTATGTTGTACCTTCCTTGCATCCTTGGGAAAAAGGCAACTTGATATGATAAATAATCTTTTTACTGATTTGTTGAATTCTACTTCCAAGTGTCTTATTGAGGAATTTGCATCTATGTTAATTAAGGATATTGGCCTGTAGTTTTTTCATGGAAGAGCTTAAGGAATATTTGCCTTATTTCTTTTTTGAAGTTCCAGTAAAATTCAGTGGTGATCTATTGGGTACTAGGAGTTTCTTAACTGCTAGACTTTTTATTACCCCATCAATTTTGTTGCCTGCTACTGGTCTGTTGGGGAATTTTATACCTTTTTGGT